TGTATCATTCTCAAATGGATGGTTACTCGGTTCCATTGTGCTATCTGCTCTTGCTTTGACTACTTGGACTTCAGTGTGATTTTGCTATCTGGATTTTTGTGCTTCGTCCATATTCATGTTCCTTGCAATTTGGTATCAGAGCTGGTTTGATTTGCCACTTACCTTGGTGCGCTGGCTTTATACAGACTTGGTGCGTTGACGATGCTTCTTCGCAGTTGGTTCTTGTGACGTCAGGCCATGATTAGGCGCACAGCCTGGGTAGAGAGGTGTGCGCCGGAAGGTTAAGATGGCATTAAGCCGTGGTGACAGGCGGAATGTATGATTGGTGATGAGAGCATGTTGATGTGGCATTCGGCTGAGGTGGCACTGCATTGCGTGGTGGGTGGTACCGAGGCCAGGACCGGTCATCAAATGCACACTCAGCTCAATTGGTGAGAAATCTGTGGTTGGGGGCAGCTATCTCCAGGTACGTTGTTCCCTTACCTTATCTACTCTCTCAATCTCTTCTTACCGTGAGGAATTGAGTCCAACTTGAGAGTCCTCTCTTTTGGTGAGGTGTTGTGAGCACGCTACCTTGAGAGACGACAATCTTCCTGGAAGCATCTGGAAGGAGAAAGGGCGGTGCCTCTGAAGGGCCCTGGTCGAAGCACTGGGTCACGGTCACCATGCCAACCCAATGGGAGTAGGTCAAGCATGCAATGGCTGCTGTCCATTTTGGCACTTGCTGCGCTGAATAGAAGTCCTCCCGGGTGTGCCAGCCTTTTATGAGACGCTTACCAGACCGTCTATAAACATTTCTGGTTGGGGACTTGGTTGATTCTAGCTGTGATCATCTTCCTGACTGCGACGTTAAATAATTCCTGAAGAGATGGGGGTGCTCTTAATATTCCTCCTGATCACCCAGATCAACCGGGTGTAAGGCTCGTTCCGTACGAGGGTAAATAAGAGTGGACTGGCTGGCTTGCTCGGCAACGACTTGGGCACAGGGGTGGGCCGACATTGCACACGAATGACACCGCTGCTCATTGATGCTTACTGGTATGTTGGATTGAGGGGAAGGGTAGGTTCTAATTGATGCTCAACTGGAAACACAACCATACCCACTCATCATACATCTGCAACATGGTCTTTTGTATTTTTGATTAGTTGGTGGACAGACAGATTAGAGTAGGACTGTTGTATACTACCATAGCTAGTTATATCTAATGCTGCTGCAAGAGAACCAATCAAGATACATCTAGACTATGTTGATAATCTGTTGTGAATGTTGTAGGCTGCCACTTGATTGGTAAAGTTGGGGACCTGCCGGACACAACTATTTTTAGAAAATCAGGTGCCGGTCAGACACATGCTGTGGTAGGACTCCAGCAGGGAGTTATAGTGCAGATAATGTTTGCCTAATTCATGAACGGGTCAGACATCGATGAGGAGGCAGTTGACGATGCAAGACTAACACGTTCGAGATCACGTAGGATCTCGTACGTGTGCCAGGCCTTACAATCGGAAGACGAAAGACGGTTTCGTGCCGAACGCAGAGCCCGTGCACTAGCAGCACCTAGGGAAACAGCAAACGCCGCAGCTAGGGAACAGGCTGCAGCAGCAGCCAGGGCAGCAGCCATGACTAGCTCAGCAGCATCCTCTGCTGCGTTGTCTGGGACCAATGGGACCCAAGAGGGAATGCCAACAGGGTCTACGGGTACTTCCAGTTCGTTAGGTTCTTGTCAGTCTACAAGTCAAATGGCGGGCTCGCAGTTCAGCCCGTTGACTCCTCGCGAAAGGGAGCTCAGAGAGCTCCAACAGGTCGAGAGGATCCGTGAACGATTAGAGAGGGAACTGAAGCAAGCAACCGATAGGGAAAGAGAGATTAAAAATAGAGCAGCCAGGCTTGATATGTTAGAGGCAGACAAAGCTGAGTTAGAGGGATTGGATGAGTCAGGACTATCTGACCAAATGAAAGTGTTGAAAAACAACATGTTGTCGCTGCATGCGCACGTGGACAGCAGGTTGGACTTCATGCAGAACACTTTGGACCAGATCCTGGACATTTTGCAAAGGCCAGGATATAGGCCACCAGCACAGTCGCCGCTGCCGTTGACGGCGATGTCTGGCCCCTTTCCATTTCAAGCTGGCACACAACCAAGTGGCACGTCTGCAGCAGCCGCACAGACTGTTGCGTCTTCTTCTTCGGGTCGAGCGGTGAGAGCTACACCACTGCAACAACCTGTTCCTCCACAGGGACAGCCGCAAGGTCAATGGTACCCTAAGACCCCAATGAAACCACCTCTTGCCTTCTCAGGCGAGAGGAAGGACGAAGAACTCAATACATGGTTGAGAACAGTTCCGGTTTGGGTGAAGGCGAAAAGGACCTTGCCAGAGGACGAAGTGGTTACTGCTGCATCTTACCTCGAAGGTAAGGCAGCCAAATGGCGAGATGGTATAGTTGCAAAGGCCGGGTATGGACGACGTATGGCTGACTGGGCTCAGTCTATTACATTAGACCAGTTTTTTGAGATGGTAGAAGCTCGCTGGCACAATCCTCAGCAGGAACAAATAGCCACTTATGCGATAAACAGACTAGATCAAAGAAAGTTTAATTCAGTCAGAGAGCTTACGACTACCATAGAGAGCCTCATCGTCATTCCAGGCATCAACTACAGTGACCAGTTCCTGTTGACTACGTTTGTTAGATGTCTTCCAGAGAACCTCAGGAACTTGCTCGCCAGCGAGGCTTGGCTCGAGTACCATTCGTTTGAGACATTGTCTAGAAAAGCCTTAGACTTAGAGGCTACACTAGGAAATGCTCAACCCTCTCAGAATGATGCGAGGAA